CACCCGGGCTCGTTCCTCATGCTCTGGCATGGTGCACGGCTGCTGCTCTCTGCAGCCATCGCCACTTTCAGGGAGGATCGAGAGACTTAACCATTTTCTTGTTTTGAAGGCTAACCCCACCAACGTCTTCGCTTGTTCTCTTCTACTTAGGAACGCCACCGCCTCAGCATTTGTAATGGAAAATCCCGGTACGTTTTCAGGCCTTTTCTCTGAAGTGAGTCGCTTTGTGAGTCGTCGGGATTGTGTGCGTGTTGCAGTTAGCGCTCTGTTTGGAAATGTGACCGTTTCGTGACACAGCTGCAGCGTTCACTGCCTGGGGAGGGAGAGAGTGCCTGCAGGTACCTGCATGTGGCTGGTGAGCGTAGGATGGAAACGGCCAGTTCAGGCTTCGTGGAAAATTTCATGGAGGGGAATCAGGTGCTGCAGAAACTCCACTTACAGACTGGGAAGACACTTCTCTGTGTCCTTTGGCATAGCTTAGCTTTATGATATGCCCTTAGACAGGAAAGTTTTGCTCAGGTTTTGGAACATTAAAAATCCTGTATTTTTAGTGAAGAGGAAATAGCAGATGCTTCCTGTTAGTCACAAATTTTGACAGTTTATTAATCTTTCTCCCCTAGGTCATTTTAGATATTTTAGCTTCTTGGACTGTAAGCTTAAAACTGTTCTCAGAACATTCTGCGGAAAGAGAAACCAGCCTAAGCTAACTGAGAAACAGGCCAGGGGACAGAAGTCCTAATTTAATTCCACCTGTAGGCTTAGGAAAATCCATTTCTTTCCTGCCTTACAAGGAAGGCTCCTGCCTTCCTGTAGGCAGGTAGGGGTCTCTACACTTGGGTGTACTATAACCCCCGTTACAGCCAGCTGTAGGAGCGGGCCCAAAAGGGCATGCCAGTCCCTTGTCACAAATGCCCGTGCCAGTGCCTTTTGCTGTACATTCCTCAGCCTGACAGCGCAGACATCCTTTCGGCACCAGCCTGTGAAAATCAGCAGCCTAATCGGGAAATAAGGTAACTACTGCAGGATTTAACTCTCAAAATAACCTTTAGGCCTAGTTGTTGAAAAGAATTGATTGTATGAACGTACAGCTGGAGGCTCCACTCATACCACACCCCTTGCCTGTGACAAAAGAGAAAACCCTGTAGGACACAGTATTACTTGGAGAGAGGATGGAGATCCATGGGAGGGATGAAAACACCAGGAGTGTATGAGAGGTGTTCCTACTATAATTTTAGTGAAGATCTGAATCTATTTTTTAAACTTTGGTTTCTCCATCATTTTAGACTCAGTTGAAAAAGTCACAGTTTGTCATTTTAAGTACGTTCGCTCAATTACTGTTTCAAACATATTTTAAAATGGTCTTTGAACCAGTAAGTAAACCAGTAAGAACAGAAGCATGAAGTTAAACCACACAAAAACGCCAAGAGAAAAAGTTGTTACCTTTATTTAAAAAATACCCATAATACTGACAAATTTAAAAAGCAATTCACACTCATACAAAAGTATTCATGTGTTCTCCAAAACCACTGGATATTAAACGTCAGCATTTTAATCATGTTTTGATTTACTAAAAATAGATGGTTTTTAGCCTAGTTACTTAAGCAACTGCAAAAATCAGTAAGACCAGCGCTGGGCATGTAATACAGTAGGACTGTTTGGCAGTCTAGAACAACATTCCCACACCTTGTCCTAGCTCCTGACCAGTATCAGATCATCCTTGAAAAACAGGACAAGAAGCTGCTTGACGTAGTTAGATCTCTCAAAAGCTCTGAGGAGGGAAGTCCTCTTCTTTCCATAGGAAGACCATTGCACTTTGGAGCTCACCAAATAATGCTGAATGAATGTCCTGTAGCATTTTAAGGCTAAACTACTTGAGAAAATTGACTGCTATCTTTCAGATTATCAGTGTGGACAGAAGAGGTTTAGTTCTGATTAAAAAAGAAATCTAAATAACAAGGCTTTTTTGAAACGACACACAATAAAGGCTCAGACAACAGCAGTGCTCACTTTCACTTTCAGCTTAACTGGAACAGCCTGTGTCTGTTCACTCCACCAGCACAAATAGCAG